ACTTGAAAAGTTGGTTGATATACTTGGAAAATATCTCTGGGCGAATCGTCACAGGCGTTTCCGGAAAAATCTAGGAAGCGGGCCCAGGAATGGCCATTTTGGGGTGGGAAAGAAGCATCGAATCGACCTGCAAAGGTATGCATTCGATAGATTTCGTTAAGATCTATTTGGAAAGTTGATTAGCATACTTGGAAACTGCTTCTGGGCGATTCCTCATTGGCGTTTCCGCAATATATAGGAATCAGGCCCCGGAACGGCCATTTTGGGGGGAACGAAGTATCGAATTGAGCTCTAAAGGTGTCCATTCGATAGAGCTCGTCGAGATCTACTTGGAAAGTTGGATCATTTTGTTGGAAAGTTCGTCTGAGCGAATCGCGACAAGGATTTTGTGAAAAACCGAGTTTTCAGTGTGGATTGAAGGTTTTGAGGAGGAGCGGAGTATGGAATGGAGCACCAAAGATGGGTATTCGATAAAGCACGTCAAGATCTACCTGGAAACTCGTTGGTTAAGTTGGAAAGCATTCCTGAACGACTCGCGACAAGTTTTTCCAGAATTGATTGCATTTTACACTGTTTTTTGATGGTATTTTGGAATTTTCTCAGTATGAGGTGGGGCTAGAGAAAAATGAATGATGTGGTTGGATAGAGCTCGTTGAGTTCTACTTGGAAAGGTGTTTGGGGTGAATTCTTTCCGGAAATACTCGAATCCTGACCTAAGATATCTTACGTAAAAAAGCCATAAAATATCGAATTTTGATAGACAAAAAGAAATGACTTTTTCAAAATATTTGTCCCTTAGTGGCCGGATGTATCCAAATGGATACATGAAGCCATTAGATGTCGAAACACTTATTGGTTCTGAGAAATAAACTTTTCCTGTCTTCATGGTCTAGGAGCAACGAAAATCCATAAAAAGATTTTTTTGCTACTTGTTTTCTAGTAGCCGGCTGGAAAGGGTTATATACCGCTATGTTTGCATAAAAAAGCGGTGAATGACTAGTCAGCACGCAATAAATACACTAATGATGTTGGTTTTTGTTTTATTCAAGATCTTGTGAGAAGATAATAGTAAACGATATCTTTTCCATGATCTTGCCAAGTACTTAGGTACAGATTTATCTGATACAATCAGGACGTGTACATACAAATTATCTTTTCAAGGTCTTGATAAGATGTTGCTTACCGATCTCAAGATTTCAAGATCTTGCTTACAAGATGTTCGAATAGGGTACTAGTGAATTTTTAATTTAATTTACGAAGAGTTCTATCTTGTGTGCTAAAAGAAATTATTTTTCTTCCTTCGTTTAAATGTTGAATTTGATAAAGGATTACTCTGAACTCTGAAACAAAGATAGAAAAGGTCGAGTTTAGACATTGATCAGTCTCAAGTATAGTTTTAGATGTGCGTAGTATAGCAATACAATACAAAAAATCCCAGTTATATTAATTTTATTGTTTTCTTCTCCTTGCATTACATTAATGAACATTACTATTTTGCTTCAGAAGATTATCAACTTAAGTTTAATTCTATGTCATGAATAGTTCACAGATAAAATCAAGGGAGTGTTTTTTTTTACAATGTGTAGATTAGAAGGAACACAAACCTATTAATCACATGTCAGCAAAAGCTATGAGATAATTTAATCTCTTAATATTAGCACAGAATCAATGTTCAGTAGAAAAGTTTGATATATATCAGCTGTAAGAGTCTGTTTGTAAAAGAAACATATCATCACAGAGTTGTCGCACAAATTGTAAGATTGAAAACATAATTTTCAAAATTTTGTAGCCGAAAAAGAAGTTCTGAAAAGGAAAATGCAATCCACCCAATATATAGTATAGGAAGCTTTGTTTTTAACAACAAGAAAAAGATCATTTACAATTGCTTGTTCAAATATTATTTGGTTCGTGATATATGGTTAAAAAACCACTAATAACATTGACTTTTGTAATATGCAAACAGAAAAAGTTCTTCTAAAGAAATTCGAATTTGAAAACCTCGATATTTTCACAAATTGAATGTCTAACTCAAATCCAACTTCAAGTCGAGTCGATTCGGATCTGACCCAGTTGTATGACTCTACATTCTCTCCACACGTATGTGCGTGTGAAAACGATTTAAGAATTGTATAACTATCAGTTGAGATATGCAGCTACTAACATAATCAAGGGTTACCGGAAGTTCGCCAATAGAAATTTCGCAAACTGGACTTTCGCCAATTGGCGAATTTCCAATGAAGTTTCTCGAATTTTAGTAGAACGGTGGTATTGATTAGAGAGATTAATATCAACTATATTCTTAACTATATGACTTTAGGTACATTTTTATACTGATAGGTATAGTTCTTGTGCATCACTTACGATATGAATGTTCCACTACCATTAATGACAATCTATTCGACTTTCGCCAATTTGTCCCCCTGGATATTCGCCTATTGACGAAGGTTCAGTGGACTACTGCCAATATACCCCTTGGAAATTCGCCAATTGGCGAAAGTCTTATTGGTCAAGTTCCGGAATCTCGTTCCACAATATATTAGTTCAATCTTTAAGATACAAATGAATGCATATGCTTTGCTCGTGCAATGGTTACCGATTCTTGCTTATGAAGTATTCATTAATACATGTTTTATAATACTATTAAGCCTTTGTTCATGAGCACCTGTCATGCTCCTTATCCAGTATTTGTCGACGTGCCACTTAGAGAAAATGCATCATGTTATGGTCGAATTACATGTAAAAGTAACCACTCATATTGTATATTTCCAAAACTTGCACAATTTCAATTTTATCATATTTTGGAAAATAGTGAATCTGATGGAAAACAAGCGTCGAGAGTACTTGTGAGAATTTTAATGAGTAAACAACATCAAATTCGTTTACTTATGAAATGTTTGAAACATTCTATTATTGAAGATCATGTTCATATAGAACTGATTGATTATAAATCACATAGAATAATGTTACATGCATGATCTTTGATTATTCATACAGATCAAGAAATAATTGATGCAATAGCAAAACAGGATTTAGATGTGGGTTTTCTTTTCATCCGCAAGCATAAATCGAAAGCACACTCGTAAGCAACTGTAAATCGTCGAATACTTATGTATTCCATGGCTCAGTATTACGATTGTGTTGTTCTGTATACAATACGGGGAAATACGGTCGTATGCGACGAAATATAGAGTATATCTGGGTTCCCTCTTCTTTGTCTTCGACTACTGCCCTTCGATTGACTTTAATCATGTCAAGTCCGTTTGTCTTAAGTGAATAGTTCTTTTGAGTTTCTTGAGTAATTGTTCATGGAACAATGTTTCCAAAAAACAAGAATAATTAACAAATAGAAGACTGTAGGTTTCGTTTATCTATTCTTTTGCCCACCCACACTCCAAGGAGAGAAAAGCGCGACTCCAGTACTTCGACTTATGACTGAAGTATAATGCTCGTCATACTTCATGACATTTCACTGGTATTATTTCTTCTTGTTCACACCTTCAGATCATCACTTTCGAATAGCAGCTTCGTACCATTGTAGACAACTCTTGTACTATATCTAATTAAGAGAGGTTCAGTAATTTTGTTTCATTCAATAAATTGTATTGAAACAATGAAATTATTCCATGTTAATCAGTCCATTTCAAGAAAATGATTTTTTTTTTAGTTGCATTTGTAAACGTGAAAATACAATTTTGGCTGGCTAACAAATGTTTTATAAACATGACAGCATCAGAGTTTCTCAGTATTTTTCGCACAGTTTTCCGTCTTCATATTTTGAAATTATGTATTTCTTCTGGACCCGTGGATATATTTTGTCATGTTTATTTCTTTTCTTTTGTAAATAAAATAAAGAACTGATCGATGTTATAAAGAAATACAGAAAAAAAAATAAAAATAAAAATAAATTTTTATTTCATCAACATGAACCTTGGCTATATCCTCTATATTGATCATTGTATTTATTTCGAGCAAAACATTCGGCAACAATTTTATCACACATACATGTTTTATATCCACATGTATCTTTGTTTCCAGTACATGTAACAACATTATTATTAAAATTCCATGCATAACCAACTAAATGTGGTGAACATAAATTCCAAAATTGAAGATATGTGGAGGTATCAGCATAACATTGATCATGAACTTGACAACATCTATCTACTGCATCGATTGGTTGTCCCTTACCACCAAGACCACAATGACATCCATATCCAAGATAATCCATAGCTGAACGACCAGTTACCTTTGTAATCATTTCTCGAAATTCAAATGCTGCATTTCGACCTTGTGATAATTCATTAGTTGGTACTGATAAAATACTTTCAAAAATCAATGTAAAAACGATCAATGTATAAAACATGTTTTGTTGAAGAAGAAAAAAAAAACAACAAATAAATAAATGATATTTCATAGATTATATATACACATATAAAATCAATGGGATTTAAGAACAGATGTTTGCATCTATGTGATCTACTCATAAGCAACGCCTACATTATTGACGTTTGATAATAATTGATATGTATCTTAAGTTAACTTGCATAAAATGAAAAAAAAATCAATATTTAGATGGTTTTTATTTCTAAAACTTTATTTGAAAATAACAGAAAGACAAAAAGAAAACAGTTAGAAAAAAAAATAGATGATTCTTTTTCTATCTGACAAAGAATAACTCATTTAAAAGTTGATACTAGAAATGATCATGAGAATGTATGATTTCAACTGAAGCAAATTAGATATAGTTTAAAGAAAAAGAAAATAGAAGAATACTCCATTTCTCTTTAAAATATAGTGATTGAATGTTTATTTAATTTTTTTCTGTTCTCGGAAATATTCGACTTTTACAATCGAAACTAGAAAGCCTCGTGTACATCTCTAGTTGATATACAATTCAGAAAATTCTAGCTAGTATAAAATAAGAACAATATATATATATATATATACAAACAAGCAGAGATATAAATGTTCGTATCTTATGATTTTTTTTCTTGCACATATTAATCTAATGGACTATCATCAGTAGTTGTTTCATCAAGAAGACTATCATTTTCAACAGTTACAGTCTAATGAAAAACAAATAAAAAGAATTTAATTTTTCTAATTTATTGAAAAGAAATATAAATTACTTCAAGAAGATTTTGTAAATAATCACAATGATTAGCTACTATACGAAGTTTATCGTTTTCTTTGCTTAAATCATCAATGAGAGTATGTAACTAAAATATTAAAAAACGGAAATAAGAATATGTTATAAAATATATATATATATTTTTATGAAATTTACCTGTTGATTTTCAATATTTGTTTCCTCAATAGCTTTTTGTCGTCGTTCAGTCATTAGTTTCCAATAAGATTCAGATGCTTCAGCTAATATATAAAATAACTTTTATGACGTTGAAAAGAAATAAAATCAAGTTAGTGTATTTTTTTTTGTTTCGTTTGTAAAATTATAACGCTTTGCTGTAGTCTGTTGAACTCATAGTGAATCACTTTTCATGTTAATAAACTGAAGATTTGAATGGCGGTGTGAGTGATTATGCGAACAAATAATCAAAACCCATTCTTTCGATTAATCGATTAAGAAATCTATAGAATAATGTCGAATTTATGTCTACTTAACTTATTATCACACACAACATGTTCCAAAATTCGTTCATCAATTTTTAAATGTATTAGATTTCATTATTGATGTAGTTTAATCTCATACTTTTTGTCTGAAAGAGACGGATTGTAAATTAAAATGTCATATTTATTCACTGTCATAAAATAAAAACGTTCTCGTTCCTGTTCTAGTAAATTTCCTTTAATTTATATTGTTAACATAGAATTAGAATGGTTAATATGTTCTTAAGAACCAAAGATACAGTGATGCCACGTCTAATAACAATTAGAATCATGAAATGGACTAGAATCTTCATATCATTGATTTTCAAAGTTTTCATCAATCATATCATCGACTGATTCTATTGCTTACTGCTACTCTACACGTATGATCAGATGGCTGAGCCTTGCACAAGTCTTTTTCTCATTACACCGCTAATATATTAATTAGTCAATGCTTTTAAAAATTGTTGAACCAATGCTAATAATGTAGTCGTAAGATATCTTAATCGTTTTGCAGATATAAAAGCCAATATTGAATTAAAACTGATCAGTACTGAATTATTACATATTTAAAAAGTCAATGATAAATTTTGGAATATTTTGTATTGTACTTTCAATTTAGGATACCTTCTATAAGCATTTGAGTAACTTCTTCAACAGCATTTCCATTATCAATAGCTCGAGCTATTTGTTCAGCATAATTCGGTGTGTTTGTACCAATATCACGATTAAATTGAATTTGCTCTGTATTAATTTCAACATGATTTTGTATATGAGTAAAATTTATACTAGAATTTTTTGTTGTTTGACATATATTTCGATGATTCTCAATAGGAAGAAGTAAATAATGTTTTGATGGTGATTTTTGTGTCATGATTATTCAAATAAAAAAGTTCTTCTATACAAAGAAATTATCTTTTCCCTATCGATATACATAGAGGTCGTTAAAAGATATAAATTCAATTTTATTGGATAAAAATAAATAGATCTTCGATATTTTTTTCTATTTATTTAAAATATTTTTTTCAAATAAATTAGTATCTTGATTAAATTTAATCGAATCACGTTTTAAATCTTTAATGAATCGTCCAGATCGAGATATTCAAACAAAAGTAGATACATCAATACTTTTCTTAAATGAAACAATACAATATAATGCTAATGAACCATCCTTGGCATTTTATCGACTTCAAGTAAATAAATAAAAAAAAGAAAAAAAAAACATTTTTGTTGCAAAATAAATTTAAAATTAAGGAACATGTACAAAAAGCTTTACCAATAATGATACAAAAAAGATGTGAACTTAAAAATTTACAAGAACAAATAAATGGTCTTATATTTGATATTGAATATAGTGTTGATGCTGTAAAAAATTTAGCAAAGAGTAATGAACATATGAATGTAATTTATCAGATTTTATATAAAAATGAAAATAAAAATTTCATTATGATTTTTTTATTTTAGAATATTGTTACAAATTTAGAAAAAGCAATTTATATTGGTAAACAAATAAGTTTATTTCGACAAAAACATGTTCAACAACAATTATTTGAAAAAAAAGATGGACCATTATTAGCATCAATAAAAAAATAAAAATGTTTGACTTTTCTTTTTTTTTTTTGTTTTATTTTAAATAAATTATTACTTTTTTTTTTAAAATTTTTCTTTTAAATTTATTTGACTATACTTTATTTTAATGTAGATCTGCTATATAATTATGTCGTTTATTAGTAGTAGTAGTCATATGCGTAGAGTGGGAATTATTTCGTCAACAACAATTGCAGCTATTGGTAAGAAAATATAAGATTGCTGTTGATGTCTCGATGATGATAGAATTTTTTTTCTTAGAGAAGAATATAAAATCGTATAATTTCGTACGGAATTTTAATGCTTATGACTGTAATACCATGAAACTGAATGAAATCTATATATTTGTCACAGTAAGAGAGGTTAAAATATTTTTTAAGTACCGTTACGATCACGGTAACTTTTTGTGTCTATTGGTGAAAAAGTGATAGAAGATCATCCGTAATGAATGTTTCTATTTTCTGTGTAATTAAAAATATCCAAAGTTTTAAGAAGAATTGAAAATATGGCAAAGGTATTTCTCTACGAAATAATAGTTTTGAAGCGATTGTCGAAGTTTTTAAACTACGGAAATCGGATTCCTTTAAGAATGGGTTTACTATTGGTTTTCAATGATTCATGAAAAGTTTTTGCAAAGCATGTCTGATCCGATTTCGTTCATTTATAGGTCGTTGGAGAAAATCAAAAGTAATTAACTAAAGTTAGATTATTGAGAACAAATCTCTGAGTTAAAAAAAAAAAGATGACTTGCATACAAAATGTTAAATTAAAATGTGTTGATAAATATGTTTGCTTACTATTCGGATACTTAGATATCATTGACGAAGATCAAAAGCAGGAAATTACAATTAAAATGTGATGCTATTTCTAAATATATTTTCCGGATATTTTGTTGAATTCTTGTAGATTAGCTGTAAGTAAATATCTAAATAAATCAAAAACCTCGCTTGTACTGAGCAAAATAGGTTTTGTTCTGTCATTTATGACTCTTACAAATGAGATTTTGAGATAGCTTCAACTTTCTAGCATTCTAAGAAATTTAAATTTCTATCAAATCATAAATTACAGTAAGCAAAATCTCCAAACAATTATAAACTATCCTATTTGAAATACAATAGATTTTAATCCTTTATAGCAATACATAAAAAGCGACATGATTTTAATAAATGTAAAATTTGATGTAATGAATTTTGAAAAAAAAGTGTTTCATAAAATTCTACATACTAATGTTTTTCAGTTTTTCAAAAAAAAAACAATTAGTAAAGAGCATTGTGTCATCATGCATAAGAAGTAGCATCTAATAGTGTACAACTTAATAGTATAAAATTACAGATTCTCTAAATATGGTAGTTACAATGGAAATTTTAAAATATTTATTTACAAAAAAAAATTTGTTTTCGTTTTAGGTATAGCATTTTTATTTTGGAAAGTATATAATCGTCGAACGCAAATACAACGTCAAAATCGAACACAAAATGAAACAGCACCATTAACTAAATCAGCTTCTGTTGATCGTTAGTTAATTAAAAAAAAGAAGATTTTGATTTATTTGAGATTTTACTTTCTTTTTTTTATTAGAATGGGAAAATGCTATAGATACACCAATAAGAGAAAGTCTACCAACTCCACAACAACTTTATAAATATGGTCTTGAACATCTTAATATATCAATTGATTATTGGCAACGTGCATTAACTATAATTAATTATAGCTTATCAAATTCTTTAACATTAACAAACCAACCTGATTTAATTCAACATGATGAAACATTAAATTCTAATCGTTTAATTGAATTAAGACAAAAAATACAATTTTTATTAAATAAAATTGATGTTAATTCAAATGCAAATGAATTAGCATTAATATTAGAACAAGAAAATGAACAACAAATTAAATCAACATTTGAATCTTTACCATTAACAACTACTACAAATGATTATAATAATACAATATTATACAATCGAGCAGATTCAATTCGTGTTCAACAAGAATTACAAACAGTCTTAAATGTACAAACAGATTTAAATACATTTAATGATCGACGTTCACTTCGATCAATACGTTCAACAGATAGTTTTGAAAGTGCTGAAGATGTAAGAAAGAAAAATAAAATCAATTTCATTTTCTTGACTAAAAAACAAAACTTCGAATTTCTTTTTTTTTTGTAGAATGCCGAATGGCTTGATACAAGTGATCTGATATTTGATCCATCATCACCATATTATTCATTACCACCCTACTATGTATATGGACTTCGTTTAGCAGAAAAAAATCAAGTTCAATATAAAAAATTACGAACTAAATTACTTCGTTGTTCATCCGATACAGATTATTTAGCCAAATTATCATGTATACGAAATGCTTGTGATGTTAGTCTGATCATAATGAAAAAGAAAATCTTCAATTAAAATTTTTATTTTTATGTTTTAGGAAGTTCTTGGTAGTGAAGAGAAAAAAGAATATTTAAAACAAGTATCAAAAGCTATTTGTGAACGTTTTCTTGAAAAAGCAATGAGAGTATGTTATGGCTTGTTTTTATTTAAACATTAACATAGTCACTTCTATTGATACTCAGCATCATTCTGAAAGTTAAATGAAAAAAAAAAAACTTGTTTCTTCTTCTTTTGACTATATCCATCGTAAACCGAACTGAGGGCATCTCATAAATTGATAAATCATTGTTTGAGATGAAATAGGAAGAATAGTCTTGCCTTTCGGCTATCTTACGGCATGATATACTGCCTAGTGACAGATTCAATAACTTGATATTTTCCCTACAACTAATACTAGATGTAGCTTTGAACATTATGCCAACTTGACAGAAAGTTTTTTTTATTAAACTGCTTGAACTCCCCGTACATACCAAGTAACTACATACTAGTGTACTAAAGTAGGTGTATGTAACAACGTAGTCAACATGCTATCGGACGAGTAATTCGAGACAAATAGTCATTATTGACTGATTCAGAATCATTCCGTCGCTGGTAGCATTGAGGTTTGTACATAGTGTCTTGTGAATTCGTGTAGGAAAACGTAGCTACTAAATCATAGTGGTCCGAAATGAAGTAAGCTCTAATGAGAGTAGAGATAGTCGAAAAAAGATTCATATTGATATAGTCATTTTTTCTTCAGATATAACTATTTTAATAACTTGTTCAATAAAGTATTGTGTTCCTCTTTAGAATACAGTTAAAAATTGACTTTTTAGTTTAAATTTTCCTAGCACGAAGTTTGTTGTTTCACATAAGCGAATTACTAATATTGCTATCTGAGGATAGAAGATACTAGTGAAAGTAGATATTTTCACAATGAACTGCTACTCATAAAAATGGCAATAAATCAAGAATAAAACTTCATACACATGAATTTTTGAAGATGTGCTCTAGTATCTAGCAGTAGTGTAGAATGATATTTACACAAAAAGTATGATGATATAATAATCTAAAAATTTTTTCAAATAACTAAAATCACTTTTTAGATTTTATTTTGCGCATGATAATAAAATAAAGTCTTGTCAACAAAGCGAAACTTCTAAAGATCATTACAAATAATGTCTCGATATACATATTATTATTGAATTATAGCCAAATTTTTATAACATGAGAAGTGAAGAAAAAGTTTTTAAAATCGTCATAAGTATAATTTTAACTAAATTCGAAAACTTTTCATGATCGTAACCTACGAGATTTTTAAAAATAATTATTCTAAATTAATAAAGTTTCGTCAGAATCAGAAAATCTTATACAGTGAAACAATGAAAACAAAATCAATATTTTTAAAAAAATATAGCCACTTCTTTCCAAATATTATTTTCTCAGATCTATACCCATATTCAATGTGAGTTTTAAAAATCGTTTTAATTTTCTACATCTTTTATAACATCAAAAATAAATCTACGCAATCATCTCCAAATGGAATCTTTCCATAGCATTCACAAAATCCCTAAGGGAATATATATATATGAAAAATAATCTTTCATTGTTTTTAAATAGTATGCAAAATTTAATTAGAGATACTATTTATATCTTCAACGAATAAAAGAAAAACTTAGTTGATTGTAAAAAGGAAAGCCTAGTTATATTTATTCTTTACATAGAACAAAAATGTCTGGAAGTTATTTTAAGTGCTTTGCTTTTTATTGATACGTCTGGAACATAATGACACAGATCATAAGAAACTGCGAAACATAGTAAAACAAAACTAATAATAGTGAATAATGAAGAGAAAAGAAAAAAAGAAAATGTCATTTTAGGATAAAACACGTTTTATTCGAGCTTTTGAACAAATGAATGCTCTTCTAGCTGATGAACGTAATTGGTCAATGATTACTGAAGAACTTGCTGCAGCTGGAGTAAAATTTATTTTTCTCTTTTTCTCTTTTATTTTTCTTTTTTTAAATATTTAGGTTAAAAATCCAACAGTTTATAATGTTGGAATTGATTTTATGTTATTAGAAGGTTTTGAAATTTTGGGTAAGAAGAAAATTGTTTTTCTATTGAATAAAAAAAAAAATCCTTTTTTACCAAAAAAATTTTATCTTCTCTTAGATTCACCACCATCAGCAATGCGAACAATATTACAAAATCGTTGGTTTTCTGAAACATTTCGTGAACAAGCATTAAATAAAGCTGTTTCATGTGCTCTGAAAATTCGACGAGCAACAGCTAAAGTAATCAAAAAAACAAATTTTCAAAAAAGTTATACAAATATTTTTAAATCGTTTCTTTTTCTTTTTAGCATCAAGATGGATTTTTAACAACATTTTTAACATTAATCGAGGATATGACACCTGTTTTTGCTTGGGGTATCCTCGGACCCGATAGTTCTGTTAAACCAATGTGTACATTTCTTAAAGTAGAAAAAAAAATATTAGAAAACAAATGAAGAAAATTTTTACTTAAGAAAAATTTTTATTTTTAGGATACAGTACTAGATTTTGCACGTTCATTATATGATATTAAACAAACAGATTATTCATCATTAACTGCATTAGCGAATGACATAGA